TAAAATGATACCCGGGGTCAAACAGCAAAGTTACCACAGCATCACAACCAAGTCACTAACGGGTAAATCCTCCTCTGTTTGCCAAACAAGCATTGATCCGACGTGGCATACTCCTAATGAGACGTCTAAGGTCATTTTGGTCCAGATTGTCCCATTCCTGTTGCAACGCAGCAGCAAGTTCTTGGACATTGGCAGGACGTTGTTGACGTTGACGTAACCTCTGTCCAAGCATGTCCCAGACATGCTCGATGGGGGAGAGGTCGGGACTCAGTGCTGGCCAAGGTAATGTGGTGATGTTCTGTTGTTGGAGGTAACCTGTAACGATCCTGGCCCTGTGACATCTTGCGTTGTCATCCTGGAAGATGAAACGGCGGCCATGACGTCGTGCGAACGGCACAACATGGACTGCCAAGATGTTGTCCCGGTAGTACTGGCCTGTAACACGCCCTGCAACAACATGTAAAGCCGTTCTTCCAGCAACAGTGATGCCTCCCCACACCATAACAGAACCACCCCCAAATCGATCATGTCTGATGACGTTAACGTCTTGGAAGCGCTCGTTTCGACGACGCCACACCCTCCTACGTCTGTCCAAAAAATCAACAGTGAACCTTGACTCATCTGAAAACATCACATTGCTCCAGCGTCGATTATCCCAGTGTTGACGATCCCTACACCAACGGCGTCTTGCCTGAATGTGATGATCTCTCAAACAAGGGATCACGCGAGGACGTCGGGCGCGAAGGTGACCCCTATGCAGTCGATTCCGAATCGTCTGGCCACTCACTCTCACACCAGTGTCTGTTTGAAGACGAGCGCTGATCTGATTTGCTGTGATGACACGATTTCTCAAGGCCAAGGTACGGATAAATCGATCCTGGGCTTGAGTTGTCGCCCTTGGTCGACCTGAGCGTGGTCTGTCCTGTACAGATTGTGTATCACGGTATCTGGACCATAGCCTGCTTATGACAGACTGAGAAACATTCATCGTCCGCGCCACAACCGCCTGTGTTGTGCCCATCTGTAGCATGCCAAGGGCACGTAACCTTTCATTTTTGGTAAGCCGACGCATATCAAAATTTGTTTTCTGGTCACTAAAACAATTAAACTGATGTTTCCACCCTGGAATTCAATGCCACAATGACGGTAACATTCAAAGTCAGAGTCGTGCAAATCTTGGGTTGGACCCCCATGATGATCCCAAGCATCACCTGCATTCCATGCGGTAGCTATTGGTGCGTTTGGGCGTCACATGTAACTGGAAATGTTTCTTCTGTTAGGTTCTATAGTGACTTTTTTCGTAGTCATTTGCATATTTTAGTATTATGCCCCCAAAATCAAATATCCCCTACTTTTTTTGAATAGTATATATATAATAGGTTTTAGTTATGCATACACAAGCATATATTTGTTAATAAACAACATTAGAGAAACAAGCCAAAGTTACGCATAAAATTGAAAATAAAATACCATTTGATCGAGATTAATACCTGTTTGACATGTTATTGTACATCTAGGTTGAGGTTGTCGAGCGGAATATGAGACAGTATATGTTTTTAAAATCATGAGTGTTGTAGTTTGTCTAGGGTTTCTCTTCGTTCATTTGAATGTAAAGAACATCGCAGGAGGTAGTGATCGGGATCTTCAAATATATGACTGCAGAGGCACGCGGGACTGTTAGCGACATGTCTAAGGAATTTGTCACTCTGCGGGTCAAAGCACCAGAGTCTTAGTTTACTATGGATTATGTGGATCTTCCACTGACCGTTATAGTAAAAGGGAGCAACTTTGTAAGGAATTTGTGACTCTGCATGTCAGAGCACCAGAGTCTTAGTTTACTATGGATCATTTGGAGCTTCCGCTGACCGCTATAGTAAAAGGGAGCAACTTTTATATCTGATTTGGAGAGATGGTCGGAGAATTCTAAAGTTTTTTCCACTCTCTCATACCGGATGGGATAAATGATTTTAGTATTACATCGAATTTATTTTATTTCATCTTCGTTCCGAAGGGAATATTTATTTGTTGGTTCAAGATTTATGAGATTCTTCAGATTAGGAGGGGTTAGGTTATTGATAATTTTGAATAGTAGTTTTAATTTGTGTCGAGTTCGTCTTTCTTTGGGTGAAGATAAACATGGCTGGTGCCCTTAACTGTTCCACAAATGGTGCGTAGTGCGTCAAGCTGAAGGTATTCGAGATTATCACATAAGTGGCCAGTGTACCCGTCCCAGATAACATCGGCATAATTAATGTGCGGCAGAACGAAGGAAGAATATAAGGTATTTAGTGATTTTCTATTTAAACGATATTTCAAGGATCGAAGGAAGTTTACTAATTCGGATACTTTACTAATTATCAATGTGGCTGTTGCATGATGTAACTGAATAAACATCAACGAAAGCAGCAAAGTAAATTTGCATAAAAAGGATATTTACGTAAAGATACATGTAAGATTTAGATAAAGAACTAACGATTGTTGCTATAATAGTTCAAATTAATGAAAAATGAATATACTGAAGATTTCATTCAAATTACTTTATTCTGAGCGAAGCCATGAATGTATAGCGTAGATCGTTCATAATCGTAGCAACGGTACTTGATAACCGAGACCTAGCCTCGATTGTCCATTTAAATTTTTAAGTCTCGCAGATGTTTAAATCCAGTTAGTTGATTATAGGCTTGTCATGTTAATAAATGTCTAAATAATAGTTAATATAACATTTGAAGCTAACATAAGACCTGTAATAAACAGATTTAGTTTTACATATAATATAATTATGTAGGATGTCTAACGAAGAGTGTTTAGACAGACTGTCTTACTTATTATTGTCTTCATCGTGTTCGTTTAGTTTCTCATAAGAGTTTGGTCTTTGGTTCATCGTTTGTCTATCAAGTCTTGTATATGGTAATGTCATTGGTTCTGTATTGATACATTTAGGAGAGGTATGGTCAGCATTCCGTGGTTTACCATTGAAGTTTAGTTGCTGATACGGACGTAATTGTGTGATACGGGTATCTTTATTGAGCTTTTCATAGACATTTGGTACTGATGAGGGAGAGTCCATACACAGGGATGCTGTGTTGGCATCATTAAAATCATTATCATCAGAATCTTCTTCTTGACCTTCATCTTCGACCCCATTGTTTATATTTTCTTCCTGATCATAATCAGGTAGTCGGTGGACAATTATTGAAACTGGTCGTTCATAATCAGAAGATACATGTGTTGAAGAGGTAATTAAAGACTCCCTGTCAAGTACCACTGTTCTATTAGTAGGCCTAGTCAGAGTGGTAAGATCTGTAGAAAACTGTTGCATAGCAACTTGTTCATCATGGTGTTCAAGAGGAATGGTTCTTGTCTTAGGAGCCATCTCTGTAAATAGATCGAAGTATAACATTATTTTTCAATCGTGGAAAGGGGTGAATCCCCGGAGGACCCGGAGAAAACCCACGAGGTTGGACAGGCGACCCCACTCCTTGTCACGTACAACCGGGGAATCGAAACCACATCACTTGACTCAATGGCAGACCTTATGATACAGCACGCACGTGCTAACCATTCGGCTATCTACTCTCCCCCCCCCTACCGAATCCCTGGTGAACTAAACTTGGGTGTCAACAGTAGTCCCAAATCTAGATCATATGTTTGCACAGTTAAATGTTCTATAAAAATCCCGTTAAAGCTGCCGTTAAATCTATTTTATTATGAAAATATATCACTTACTGTTAAAACATTTCTTGACAATAACTAAACCAATTATACCGAGAGCTATTATTAGACAGGGCACAATAACACATATGATGATAATAATTCCAGTAGGTGTAATTTCAACAGAAGTATTAATCAAGTCATTGGTAGCTGTAATAAGAAAGGTAACCTTTTGTTTAAAAGATTCCGTTTATTATCATAGACAATTGACACCTTTTGTCGTTGCTTTGAGGTTGATATGAATATTGCGGGTGCGGAGTAAGACGGTATGCCATACTATAAAGGTTAACGTATTTAGGTTTATGGGCATAGATTTGTGTAAAGTTTCAGACGGTACTCTTATTTTGCTCTTATTAATAATTTAACTTTTCTTGGTGGTTCATGCTATGCCCAAGAAAGGTCACCTGCACACGGGTCTTCGATTGCTAATTTATAAAAACGAATTAGGTTATTATGGAATAGCTCTGTAATAATAATATACGAACCCTGCGTTAGTGTGTGGCACACCCGCAATTCTCCATACTTGTTCTTTAAGTAAATACAGTATTTACCAATGTAATGTTTGGTAACAACATAAACAGAAAGACTAAGATTATAATGATGTGGTTTAGTTGTATTAATCAGGGTATAATTAATGTATCGGTAATGACGGTTAATCCCTACTGGTAATATTATCGATTCCATTTCTATTGAAGGTCTAGGATACCCAGTTATCTCCCTTACTATCATTATCTTTTCACCACCTTCAACTAAAGTGACGTCATCACTTGACATTGAGTTTTCTGCTGGTGGACAACAATCAGGGTCTGTCAATACTGTAAACGTAAATTAAAGTTAAACATTAAACGATTACATACATTATATTATACTGTTACTAGCATTTGGATATGTATGGCAACCAATTCTATGCCTACCTTGAAAATTACTACATAGTGTCAGATTTCCACCTTCATTCTGAACATCAACACAATATTTCCCAACATACTCAATGTTTATAAACAGTGGATGTCAGGTTGTATTGGTGGGGTTTGGTAGTACTGAATTTGTATCTGTTGTGTAATCATTCCAACCTTTTACATATAGTCTGTTACAGTACAAGACCGTCACTAATATTCAAAGTTGGACAGTTTGGAGGAAACCAACTGAGTAACTGAATATGTGAATATGTGAAGTTAATATTCAATAAATTACTCACTAGGTAGATCTAGGATAAAAGATGTTTGGTGTTCATTATCTGCAATGGCTGTCGTCGTTTTAATAGGAGGTGGATAGATAGATAGTGTAAAGGATACATTTCTGGTAGCATGTATATTGTATACTGTGCATGTATAATCTCCATCATCTGATTCTTGTAGATTTAGTAGAATGAGTTGAGTATTATAACTTAAAATCTTCCCATCTTTATACCAACTGATAATACATGCTGGATCACAATCACTCATACAATTAACTGTTAATTCCTCTCCTACACGTTTCGTTATTTCTTCATCAGGTTTTAGATTTGTATCATCATAGATTAATTGTATATCATATGGTCCATCTGTAATATAATTATAAGTTTTTAACATAATAGACTAATGTTGTTGCCTATATATATATAATATAGTTATATTCAGTTTAATGTTGTATCATATAATGGCCCATCTGTATTATGTTTTTCCAAGACACAAAACCTCAATGTCAGATAGTAATAATCAGTAATGTGCCAATTCCATATAATAAAGTATTCTATGAACATCATTACCCCGGAACCAAGGCTAAATAATGAACTTAATTACCTTCATTTATATTTTGATGTATGTTCTACATAATAGTAACAGTACATTTTTACTCAATTACAGACCCACAGGCTGACCAAAGGGGGTAGCCGACCTCGATTCTAGAACCGTTAAGATATGAATCATGAACTTTGAATCTGCACCGGTTCTCCATGGGCGTCACACATGGGGGTGGGGGTGGGGGGGGGGTTGTTGGTCCCCCCAAAACATTTACATAGTAGGCCCTAACTCCTATTTATTTACAACATTTATTAGGATTAGTTAAGATTCTATCTGTATAAAACCTTTACATATCCCAATATGTTGGTGTGATGTTTTAGTTTAACCCCGTAAAATATGCCAAAACAGTGTTTAAAGAATACTGAAACTTTAAAAAAATTTATGTGGGTTGCCCCCAACCCGCCACCCCCCAGTGGCAGGGTGACCTTACCACACTCTCCCTATTGCGCTACATCGGCTGATGCGCAGCCTCGTGCCTCCAGCGTCACAGATTGTCAACATTTTATATAATTTCATTTCATATAGCAAATATATTCAATTCAAGATAATATGAATAGTTTAAATTTGTCTACTCACATTCTGGTTGAAGAATAAAATCATCAGAGGTACCCAAAACATCTTTACATCTTGTATGTCCCTTAACTACTAGAGTAAAGCAAAAATAAAAACATAGAAAAGCGAGGCATTTTGAATGACTTTGAGATATCGAGGAAACTGTGTAGTATACTCAGTATTTGAATACTAATTGTGTGCACGATGGGGTCTATATAGGTAAAGTATTGTGTAGAAACCATGGTAATATGGAGGACACGGTGTAGTATAATCAATATTTGAATAATAATTGTGTACACGATGGTTCTATAAAGTATTGTGTTTTATTATATCTTATATAAAGGTTACGTTCCATATGTATATACGTTTGTTAAATTGATAATGCTACACAACAAAATAGATGAACTTGTAGATGTGACATTGATCATGCAATGTAGAAATATGATCAATGAAACAGAAGACCTTTATTTGAAGTTAAAGCCGTTGAAGCCTGTATGGGATGAGAACAACAGCAGTTACTAACGACATTTCTCCTATAAAAAGAGACTATCTTTTATAAACGCCATGCTGACCAGGTCGTGTATATTTAAATATCCAGGCCAGCCGCTGTACACTGAGACCACTAATGTGAACAATGTAGAGTGTTTACAATAATTTTTTGTGGATGACGAATCGACGAACCGACGGAGCTGAAGACAATATACGGTCAATTTCCATGTGGGCGTATAAATTAAGAATATGTAAAAACTATTGAAATGAACTTACCTGTGTTCAGTGTAGAACCAGGTGTTAAATCCTGTAAACTAGTTTTACAATCAGGATCATCTGTAGCTATACAGATTATATCATCTCCTTTATCATTTATATCAACATCTCTATCGTTTAGTATACTACCATTACCATAATATATGCCATGTTTAAACCATATATACATCATAGGTAAATTATGATCAGTTGGTTCGGTTGTTGATGTAACGTTACAAGTCAGAGTTAGCTCCCCTAATAATTTATCATTCACTTGTTGTAGAACTGGTTGTTCATCGGGTGGAACTAATCTTATACTTGGTTTATCTGTAAGAAATCCCCAAAATATTTTATCCTATACGCAACAGTCCAGATTGTTCACATACAGATCTCATAATTCACAAACATTAATGTAAATACTGCAGCTATTTTATAAATAGGTACATCCGAGTAATCATTATAACAATATTTGCGTATTATAGATCAAAAACAGAATATGACAGTTTAAAGTATATTTTGGACGTGTACAACTCGACCCGGTACAGAAATACATATTATGAACACATGCCTGATGATGGTAAATTTGGTGAATGGAATGGAATCTCCATATTGAAACACTGGACAGATTGTTATGACCCTAACAAGTGGTGGAACTATTCTAGTGTCTAGTGGAACCGAAAGTAAACCGTATGTAAATAGGATGAAAAGAAACAACGTTACAATATTTACATCGTTATCTTTAATAAATGTACTGTATATATTTACGTGGTTTGATCTGAATATCTACAGTAATAATATTATGTGCCTAGAATGGTAAGTTGCAGACCATAGCCATGTGTGACTATCCCATCTTTGTATTCAACAGCAATATGACTATTTACTTTGAATATGGCTATGGTAACTATCTAACGTGATAAGAGTATTTACCTGTAACTATGAGTTTTATACCACAACCAGGTACTTCAAGTTCCCCAGATGCACAACAATATACACCAGCATCGTGTGACGTTACTTCCTCTAGTTGAAATATAAATGAGGTTATATTGTTGACAGCTACATTGATTCTATATGATTCATTTATCCACCTGTTTAAAAGTTTAAACTGGCCAGGAAAACCTAGGAATAGAATAATACCATTGGGTTTCTTTATTTCGTAAAGATCGTCCACATCAGTTATTTTATCCAGTTTAAAAAACAGTTCAGCACGTTCATGTTGGTTTACTATTTCTGTATCAGTAATATAACAAGATAAAACTGAAATGAAAAAGGTAAAAACATATGATATAAACACTGAGTGAACCAACCTAAAGCGTGATTTATACAATAACACGAATTCCGCTCCATAGCACTATATTATCATATCATTGAAAACATCGATAAGAGCAGGACACAGCGCACCGAGTCGGGCAAAACTCCCCCCTTTGTACACTGTGTGGCGTATGCCCGTCGTCATTAGCCCAGTCGGGGCAGAACAATTTAGGACGTTAAACCCCATTTCATTTCGTCAGTGAAAACACTCCATAATATTATAATATATTTTATCTTCGATGAGAAACCATGTTTAGATTTAAACCTAAAACCTATTGCTGCATGATTTCTGCAATATCCACTCTGTAATAAGAGCCAAAGGGATTGTTTTATAATATCTTCAGTGACACGAATTTCACTCCACAATATTATATTATATCATAGTATCTTCAGTCAAAAACTGTTTTCAAAGCCGCTTGTCATCCTTTGTATTTTTTGTTTTTGGAAAGTATCATATATTGATAATTGAACAATTAATTTCTCAACATAGATTCAATCAAATTAAAAGGCATACTCCTGAAACAATGGCTCTAGAAATCCCTCTCTGGCCATTGCTGGGTAGGCTTCTGATACTTGAGTTTTTGAGGAAGTGTGTCTATTCTTCCCGTTCAATCAAATCTATCCCAAGTACAGAAACATGACAGCGCTTCGTTTAATCTGGGGCCTTCCCTAAAACTCTGGACATTGATTTAAGGTATTAAAAACGGTGAAGTGTTGTTTGTCTCCAAACAGTATTGTTTACATTGTTGTATCCGTGTTGATAGCCTCGTTTGTGACGCAATTAGTTTTTCTGCAATATTTTGCTAATGCACTGGTTAATTGGGCATAATAAAATGAACTGAATTGAATTGAAATGGGGTTTAACGTCCTACAGTTTTGCTCCTATACTGGGCTAATGAAGACGACCATACGCCATACAGTGTTATATAATTATAGTTTTTTGTCATCATAGTTTAATGGTATAACATATGGCCTATCCGTAAAACAATATTTTATTACTTAATGAGTCAACAATATGTTTACATACTATATATATTGATACTGTATAATTATATGCATTAAATTACTTACATATGATCACTGATACGTTTGATGACTGGGTATATTAAATTAGTAATATTAATAATATAAACTGTAAGTATCAGATAGTACTGGTGAGGTTTGGTTGTGTTTATCAACACAAAAAGTCAACTCGAGAAAATGTCCCTGTCTGGATTTTATCGTATTGAAAACAGACCTATTATTTAATTTTCGTGGACAACAAAATGGCGACTAGCATAACGAGAAGCATAGATCGATGAAATTTCAATCCGCTTCTTTGTGAATACTAAACGGAATTGAATCATTTGTGGACTAATATGTCTAATGGGGGATCACGTGGCTAAGTGGGTAAGGCGCTGGCTCGCTAGCCTGGAGGTCGGGTGTTCGATCCCTGCATTGGCCGAGAAAGTTCATTTCGATTTTCCGGCGTGGTTTCCCCTTGTCAGTGATGCAGAACGGAGGGCCTGACAAGGACAGCTGCCTAGTCGTTCGGATGGGACGAAAAACCGAGGTCACGTGTACACATTGGCGCGCACGTAAAAGATCCCTTGGCAGTTGGAATTCGATATAAGAGTAGATCGTAGTGCCGCTGCCCGGGCAAAATTTCCCTCATAGCACACTGTGTGGCGTATGCCCGTCTTCAATTAGCCCAGGATGGGTGCAGAAGAGTAGGACGTTAAACCCTATATCATTTCATTTCATTTTAATATGTCTGATAGAGGTTCATCTATTACAATATTCTAATTTGCAAGTGACTTTTTCATAGACTGTATCTGACATGATCATATTATATTCCTTGCTCAAATGAGATGTATCTTCCGACGTTTAATGTTAAATATGGCCTAACACTTTAGTGTTATGATCGCTTTTTGATGCTCAACAAAGTCAAAAGCCCCTCCCCTACCTCAACAACTGGCGATGAAGTTTCGGACCCCAATAAATGGACGAGAGCCTTTAAATAAACATACATGTGACAAAATTAACCCAGTTCCGCACATTAGTTTGTCGGTTTTGTAACTACATAATATTTGTGATTTGGCGATTTGTTGATAGAAAGTTCACGTTATTAACTGTTATAATTTGTTTCGACAGTTTATCACATTGAAGTATGTATAGTGTAAACAAATAACAATATATATATAATGTGCACAAATAACAATATATATAGTGTGCACAAATAACGATATATAGAGTGTACACAAATAACAATATATATATAGTGTACACAAATAACAATATATATAGTGTAAACAGATAACAATATATATCGTGTACACAAATAACAAAGGACAGGAAGGCTTTCTGCACCATCACCATAACGAGGAAACGTTAATAGCAAGGGAGTGATATTCATTCATCTGTATGTACCTCCCAATACATCAGCTAATAACTTGCCATACGAGAAGTTAAAACACGTTGGACACTACCTGACCAGAACAAAGCTAATATTCTAAGCAAAAGAATATGAAATGCAGAGGTGCCTACCTGTTAACAGAAGTGAAGATAGAAAAATCAGTAAAATTATAAACATCTTGAACATGATAAACTTTTCTCTAATTGTCGACATTTTACTTTCAGTTTCTTAATGTCCGTCTTGTACACGGTTATCGAGTGTCACTTATCGTTTGGTAATATGTAGGCCAACCTGGGCTAGACAGGCGGAAAATATTATGTGCAATAGGTAAAAAAAAAATTGATAACTGAAACCTACAGATTTTATATGAATAATGTGTGAGTTATGAGTAAGAGGAAACAAGTTTAGTTATTTGTAGATTACAAAGAATATTAAAAGAAAAAAAATGACGGTATATATCATATACCTCATTCGCATGTACATATAGTGAATATGAAATAAGTTTGTTTTTTTTAAACGATATCTGACCCAAATAGTTTAAAATGACTGTTTAAACGGGTATAGAATAAATGGAAATATGAATATATATCTCCTTGGGACTTCAGCAGGTTTTAATATCTGTGTACTGAGGCAAATAATTCATATATTAGTTATTTAAAGATAATGTGCTAGATAATGTAAATATAGATAATGTAAAATGAATATTGTATTGAGAATCTCAGTCACATTACTTTAATCTGAGCGAAGTTATGAGCTTCTGGTAGGGTGACCCACCATAAATAAATATCTCCATATATCTCGACAATTACGCCACAATATGTATATATATGCCAAGCCGCAAATCAGTTTCACACAATTATAGTCACTAAATAAACGATCATGTTGTACTTAATAAGCTATGACCATTAATCATGTATAAATAATAGACTGAAAACTGGTTCCAAGAGTCGTCCATAACATCCAGACACTTTTGAGTAAAAGATAGGTTACGTGCCCTTGTTTTGAAATTAGTCTCGCTTAACCAGTCTATCGACCATTCTACGTCTGATTGACAGGTCGGGATAATCAAGACAACTTTTTTACGAACCATAACAGAAAGCTAGAACAAGAAATTGAATTTAGAAATAAGCATGTTAGGTAGCTCAACAATCGTTTTAAGAAGCTTGTAAAAGTAAAATGAAACTACTGCTAGTATCATGTTCCTGTCTAACCCGAGTGATTCAGAGATATTATTTGTACTAAACCAAAAGATGCCGCTCTTAACGGTACAGTTAATGATAAAGCGATTTAAAAAATGAAACGAACGTAATTTCTAAATCTGCTGTAATAACCAAGAAGCTTAATTTTACTGCTATTCAAAATCGTCAACAATAATTTTTTTACGGCTGTAATAGTTGATAAATTTGTAGAGAATTGCACGTGCCATGGCTATTTATAGTATCATACTGTCAGAAATTTGGTCTCGGCACGGCGAATGTGCACGCTTCAGTGGTAGTCTCGAACTATCAGCGGTGGACTGTATTTCTGTGAGTACATGGGTCACCCTACTTCTGGAGTTTAGGCAAGCTGTAGCGTAGATAAATGATTATGGGCTTATTGTTAAATTGAGTCTCTAAATAATATCTACATTTTAATCAAGACAAATTACTGGCAATAGGCAGATTTAGCTCTTGCATAATACACCTTTAAAATAAGTTTATTCTTGATTTGTTAAAATACGGAAAAGTTAGTGCGTCTTTGAAATTGAAATTTTAATGCTTGTTTTAAAACAATTACTGGATGGTGATCTTAGGACTATTGATTATGCCGCGATCTGCGAGGGAATTACAGTCCATGTGATGTTTGCGATTGGCTCGTTTAATTTACGCATAATATAGCCAAACAGAATAATAGATCACATGCTGTCTTGTTACCGATTCACCTCCGTAACTTCAAAGATGTTTCGCGTGTAGGTCATATGTAATAAATAACAAATCATTTCAAGATACGCGCCACACAGATAATTTATTCATCGCAACAATATCTGTATATTTACGAAGTTAAATACTTAAAATAATCAATAATATGTATTTGTCAAGTTCCATCTGAGGTAGTTAAAATAATCCGATGACGTTTAAAATAACATATAAAGTATGTGATAAATTGTTGAGTGCAATACTTGCACCCAGAATAGGAGGTTTTTGGATGAGTTTCAGTGTTCAAGTTATAGAGTAGAATGGAAATGAAATGGATTTTATCGTCCTAGTTATCTGTCACCGAAATATACCTTTAAGAGTTCGAGATTTAGAGCAAAATGGAAATAAAATGGGGTTAACGTCCCACTGTTCTAAACCGATGGGGGTAATGAAGGTTGGCTTACGTCATTCACTATTCTGTCCGGGTTGCGACGCTACGGCCTACTTTTATCCGGAATTCCAACTACAGACCCATCCCTCTCCTAAGCACTGTTAGTAAACTTTTCGAGCGTATAATACTGAATCATCGATATAACCTCTTTCAGTCCAAAAATCTCCCATACTGCTTGTAATCTGGGTGCAAGCCATAGCACTTGAAATATATCACGATGTCATCACTGCGTTTCAGGATCACAGATTGGCCTGCCAAGTTGTTTCGATAAATATTAGGCTTTTAATAGAGTACACTTTTAAAAATGGATGTAATTAAAAACTATAAGCAGCGTTAATTAAGTGTAAACTTTACACCACAGCTAGATTTTTTAAATGTAATACCTTTCCAAGGGTAAACAACTAAAAGACCTACACCTAACAAGTGTAACCGATATTCATGACTACTGAATACCTGGATAGGTGTAATTGTGATGTTCTTGGGTAAGCTACAGCACTACCAGTGTTATAGTGAATTTACACGAAAGGGTTAACTAGTACTGGGAAATAAATCATAGAACAGCGTTAATTTTACAGCGTTTATTGGGTTGCAAAAGTGTAATCGATATTCATGAGTACTGAACACCAGAATAGGTGTAATTGTAACCGCTGAAGGGTGTTTGAGATGAGCTACCCCTCTACAAGCGTTTATTGCATTTACACAGGTGTAATATTTTTAGGAAAACATTTCTCCGAATAAGGTGTCAATTTTTCACCGTATTTGTGTACTCCGCCTTCGATTTTGCAAATGAAATGAAATAGTGTTTAATGTCCTACTGCTCTACACCAACTTGCGTAATGAAGAGCGGCATACGATCTCCAACCGTCAGGGGTTCTTGTGCTCGCCAATGTGTACACGGGTCCCATCTGAACGACTATAGGCCGTCCCTGTCAGGTCCCCTCCGTCCTACAACACTGACATGGTGGAACCACACCGGGAAATCCCGATGATATTTCTCGGCCAACACCGGGCTCGAACACGGGACCTCTAGGGTAGCAATCCCATGTCTTACTTACTGCGTCATCCCAGTTCCCTAAGCTTTTTGCTGAAATATGGTTTATATTCTCAATTTGGCTAAAAGTGCCTATATTTCTTTGGAAAGTTGGCAGCAGTACATATCCTCAGAACTTCTCGGTAAAGATATCCCATGTTAAAGTACGCAGACACTGATATTTGGCATACATTAAATCGCAAGTTCATGTTGAGTACATGGTCAGATTCATTGTCATATTTAAGAACATAATGACGCCACTCTCTAAAAATACTTATGTTGGGAATAATAGCAGATCTAACCTGTAAAGCCTATTTAATAAATTTTGACCAAGCGTTTACTGCGCTATAGCTATCATGATCTAACTCGCTGTGGTAGATGCATATCTCTAAAATGACATGACTTTTAAAGCCTTATTGTGTGATTCAGTCAATCTACTATAGAAAACGGCGATCTAGATGGCTGTAAGCCAGTAAACAACAAATTAGAAAACATAGTAAATTAACCAAACTGGTGAGTACAATCTTTAATTGATTGACTGAAAACAAATCTACTATAATATAGAAATAAGAAAATACGTAATTATATATTATACAAAATGTAATTAAAAATTAAATCAAAGCATAAAATAACACCTACATTATAACTAGAATTATTTAAAAAAAATCATCTTAACCCACCTTCCCAAACAACTTGATAATCCGAGAAGCATATAAAGCAATTATCGATTCCACAACGTTGTCTTAAAATATAAGGATATAATAGAATAAACTTTAACAAAAGCATCGAATTAAATCTGTACAAAAAAGATATTTACATTAAACTGGCATTATGAAAGAGCTAAATCTACCTATGACAGCTCTTTATTTTGACCATAAATATTATATAAATTATTAAACATATATGCAAGAGCTAAATCTGCCAATTGCAGGTCATTCTTTGAGCCTAAAATGTTATCTAAATTATTAGACATGAATTAACTTATCCAGACCATAATCAACTCACGGTGGCATCGCTAGGCTGCGATTTTTACTGGATTCGAACTCGGTCGGCTGCTTCTGATTAATTCAAAAATTGGATAATCGAGACTATGTTTGTTATCGTACCGACTTTAGTAATGATGACCGAGGCTAGGCCCAAATTTCAATCGCTAAATACTCGGTTCAGAGTGGATCAATTTGACTGAAATTTTCAGCAAATCCCCCTTACATTATCTAGGTTTAAACTATTATAGTGAGAACTGCCAGATCTTTATCTAATCTCCCATAATGTATCTTTAATTAGATATTAATTAACCTGCCAAGATCATAATCAATTCTCGATATTAAATATATTTAAATGCGTTTGGCTGTTGATGCGGTTACCGTAAAAGTGGATAATCGTGGATGTTTATTAACGTAACAACGGTAGAAATTACAATCGCGGCTAGATTACACGCGTATCGCCGATAGTGAGATTCAGAGTGAAGCATTTTGTAACATTCCGTTTGCATTGTATTTTTTTTAGCTATTATAACGATTATAGCGAGAACTGTCGTCGCTTTATCAATCATACCTAATTCCGCTTTAAGTAATATATTAATGTTGGATGTTTAACGAAGAATATTTCGAAAGGCTGTCCTGTTAATTGCCTTCATTATGTCCGTTCAATTTCTGATAGTTCATCAGTTCTCTAATACGTCTTGTATATGGTGATGTTCTGGATGCATTAGAGATGAATTTTGAAGTTTACCATTTAAGTTTTTTGTACAGATTTATTTGTCTGATTCGGGTATTTTTATTGAGCTTTTCATAAACATTTGGTACTGATGAGGGAGAGTTCATACACAGGGAAGCTGAATTCGTATCATTAACACTATCATCACCAGAATCTTCATTATCACTATTATCTTCGACCCCATGAAGTAAATTTTCTTGCTGGTCATAATGCGGTAGTCCGTTGACAATCAATGAAACAGGTCGTATATATTCGGGAAATACTTGCGTTGAAGAAGTGATTACAGATTCCCTGTCATGTAAAAGTGTTCTATTAGAAGGCACATTTAGTGTAGTAAGATCTGTAGAAAATTGTTGCATGGTAACTTGTTCATAATGATGTTCAAGAGGATTGGTTCTTGTATTGGGAGCCATACCTGTAAAAAGTTTGAATTATATCAATATTTGCCAGGCGATTATTAAGGTAAGTAATTGTCAATCGTGGAAAGTGGTAGTAACTCCAGGGTGAATTAAACTTGGGGTGACACTAGTGGTCTCAGTGAGTAGGACGTCGGCTCGCTAACCTGGAGTTCCCGTGTTCGATCCGTGCCCTGGCTGAGAAATTTAATCAGAATTTTCCGGCGCGGTCTCGCCGTTTTAGTGGCGTGGGACGGAGGGCCTGGTAAGGGACAAAGTTTACCCCATAGAACAATGCGTGGTGTATGCTCGCCTTGATTAGCTCAGTAGATGAAAACAGTAGGACGTTAAACCGCATTTTATTTGATTACATTGTATGTCAATTAATGGTCTTAAATGCAGATCACCTGTTTGCAAAGTAAAGTGTTGTCGGACTTCATGTATAAATGAAACTTTGCTATATAAAATTATGATTAAACGTTGGATCAATGTATCGCAATATGAAAATATATATAACTTACTATTAAAACATTTCTTGACAAAAACTAAACCAATTATAAAGACAGTTATTAATAGAAATGGTCCAATAACAGAAATGATAATAACAATTCCAGTAGAACTATTAATTACATCATTGGTAGCTGTAATAAAAAAAAAGTAACCTTTTGTTTAAAAACATTTGCTAAACCGGGAAAAGATATCCTTTTATTCTAAGAACTTTTGTCTTGAGCGTCGAGTTTATGTGATTATTGCTCTGTGTGGGTTTAGGGGAGTTAAACGGTATATGATGCGATATATGGTATAGTTCTCTTCACAGATTCAAATGGTACACTTCCCATGTTATTTTTTATACTTTATAGTTTGTTGGTGGGTTATGTTAGGTCTACAGTGTCTTCAAGTGACATATATTTTGATCTTTCTCCCATTGCTTAAATGCAAGGGCAGTGCCATTTTCGGGCGAAATGGATAATCCATGCGCCTTAGATCATAAGGTTTCACTTTAGGTCAAGTGTCGTGGTTTCGATCCTACATATGAAAATGACGCAAAGTGAGGTTGTCTGCTCTTTCGCCCCCCCCCCCCCACTGCTAATTTATAATCGCGAATTAAGTTAATATGGAATAACTCTGTAATATAGTACAATAATAAATACGAACCCTGCATTAGTATGTGGCAAACCTGCACGACTCCATACTTGTTCTTTAAGTAAATACAGTATTTACCAATGTAATCTTTGGTAACAACATATACAGAAAGACTAAGATTATAATGGTGTTGTTTAGCTGTATTAATCAGAGTATAATTAATATATCGATAATGACGGTTAATCCCTACTGGTAATATCATCGATTCCATTTCAATTGAAGGTCTAGGATACCCAGTTATCTCCCTTAGTAATATTACCCTTTCACCAACGTCCACTAGAGCGACGTCATCACTTGACATTGAGCTTTCTGCTGGTGGACAACAATCAGGGTCTGTCACTATTGTAAACGTAAATTAAAGTTAAACATTAAACAATTACATGCATTAAATTATACTATTATTAGCCACTGGATGTGTATACAAACCATTAAAGTTACTACATCGTGTCAGATTTCCTACTTTATTCTGAACATCCACACAATATTCTCCAAGATACTCATTGATAATATCAACAGTGGATGTCGGGTTTTATTGGCGGGGTTTAGTCCAGACAAGATAGTATAAGTGCGGGCAGATGCTGCAATAGAAATGCCGACCACCTTTCTGGTCTGTATTTAATCACCCAGAAAATAATCCTACTTAGAAATCCGTGTCCAAATGGGTTACTCTTGGGGGTCATTCTGGTGCAAAAATTCGAATTTTACATAAGGATCAAGTTTGGTGCCAAAATATATGTTTTCGAGGTAGCTGGATCCATTTTTGTAAATATGTTGGTGATTAAGTGATTGCCCTGTGTCAATATAGGAGGAACTCCAATTAGGGATTTAGGTTTTAGATTAGGGATTGAAAATAAATCCTACCTTAGGCCTAATACAATGACATTCACCCTTTATCAACTAAATTTCATTTGGAATCCCTCCCAGCTCACTGCGATAGAAGCGTAGCGTGTATGACGACTGGGGCCACTCTCAGTTCACCGCGGAAGTTGGTTATGCCTATTGAAGCACACAATGATTCATATAATGAGACAGATGGATACAGTATCGCTTGTTTGTCAGATATTCATTGAAATCATTTCACAATGAAAAACTCACCATCATTCCCAAAAAAACGGGTATTGGGGTCTTTAATAAGGCGGTTAAGCTGAGAAACTTATGGTCGTGATTTGGAGCTCTGTGAAAAATACAATGTGGAATGTCGAAATTTAACTAATATTGCACAATGTTGTAAAGCTATTAAAGTAGAGGAGCCGGTATCGATGTCTAGATGGCTCGTGTAGACAAAGTTTATTTTTGCGAACCGTTGTCTTTACATGGTCTGAAGGAAAGATTAGTAGACGGTCCATTACAGCAGATAAAATCGCCGACCGCTGTTACAGCACTAAACAGTAGAACCCGTAACAATGATAGTTAACATTAATCTAATTATAATTACTTGCACAGCTAACAATTTTATAATGAAATTGTTCACCACTTTGAGTAACCTAAGCAAAAATTCTCATTGTCGAACTTAGTCAAGATATTTATGTAATGAAACTGTACACCAACTTTTATTCTGTCCTAAATTCCCTGCCACTGAAATTGTTATTTCTGCTTAGCTCAGCCTATTATGGAACGTAGTCAAGGCCAGGTATCGTATTGTCGGCCTCCAATACCAGTTATCTCTCCATTTTTTTTCGGAATTACAGTGGGCACTCCATTATCAAATAGTTCACTGCATATCTGGACAAATCTGTGTCCCATCATTTGAATCATTTTGTGAATTAAATTCGCTGTGTGTTTTAATAAGTTTGGTCATTTGGGCTTAGTGTTCGAGGTTGGTGACCAAAATGAGAATTATTTCATCTGGAATCATTTCTCAATATTGACTCCGCGGTGTAACTAATCACCAAAATTTGTATAGATTCAGATACCCCAAAAGGATATATTTTAATACCAAACTCGATCATATTACGTATACGCTAACTGGATGACAAAAATTGCATTTTCAGCCAAAACTGGTGGTCATTTTGGGTTTTGTCCAATTTGACCTATTCGGACACGGATTTTGGAATGGGACGTTTGCTTTGGTGATAATATACATCTAGACCGACCATAAACAGTGTGATCATCATTTCTATTGCATCAACTGAACGGGATGATGCGGAATTGAGTTAAAATGCCTGGACTAGTTGGGTAGTGTTCATCACGATAAAATTAGTATCTGTTGTATAATCATTCGAACCTTTTACATTACTAATATTTAAAGTTGGACAATTTCGATCAAACCTACTGAGTAATTAAATTTGTGAAATTATTTAGTAATTTGATATTCAATAGATTACTCACCATGTAGATCTAGGATAACAGATTATAGTAAATGGAATAAAATTCAAGACAGAAATAAAAAAGTTTAAAATTGTCTACTCACATTCTGGTTGTAGAATAAAATTATTTGAGAAACCCAGAACATCATTACATCTTCTGTCCCCAATAACTGATAAAAGAAAAACAAAAACATTAATAAACGAGACATCCTGTGTTATTCTGAGAAGACAATGGGTATAAGACAATAGATATTATTTAAATAAATACAAAAATAAAACGATTGAAAAACGAGACATTCGGGTTTATTTTCGGATTGTGAGGAGACAATCAGTACAATGTGTACACGATGACGTCTGTCCGAGTAATGTCTAGAAACCATGGTAATATGTGTCTTCAAAATTAACCCACATTAAAATATACAAACAAATATATAAATTTATAACTTTATAAGCCACAAAATGACCATGCCAGTAAGATTGTGTAAATATGATTAATCAAATACATGACCTGTTAGTCCGGGACTAATACTAGGCGCCCCACCATAAAAAAATATCTTAAAAATATATCGACAACTATACTCCAATATATGATAAACCTTAACCTAGTCTCTATAAAATTTATCGTCATGCTGTATTTAACAAGTTAAAACTATTTAAAAATCAAACGACAAGCGGGAATTACAAGCACATAATCTGAAATGAAATGAAATGGGGTTTAACGTTCTACTGAAAACGGACAGCGACACTATGACCTACTCTTATATCAAATTCAAACTGCCACGGGGGTCTTTTAAATGCCACGGGGGTCTTTTAAATGCACGCCAGTGTATACATAGGACCTCGGTTTTTCGTCCCAACCGAAAGACTAGACAGCTGTCCTTGTCAGGTCCTCCGTCTTGCACCACTGACAAGGGAAAACCACGCCGGAAAATCCCGATGAACTTTCTCGGCCAATGATCGAACATGCGACCTCCAGGATATTGAGCCAGCATCTTAACCACTTAGCCACCGTGGCTCCGCGTGGATAATGACAGAAAGCTAGATAGTAACAATGAAGAGAACCCCGTGAAAACAAAAGAAGTATAAAACGGGTATCCTAATCTCTCCTAACCCCACTGCTTGGTATATATAAATCTACTAAACCAAACGATGTCGCTCCTTCGAAACGTCGCCCAAAATAAATAGTAGCTGTTTTCTATAAGTATGTGTTATAGTTTATTATCATTCACTGTGGTGAGTTCAACTTGTGACTGCCTGGAGCACCCTACCAGTACTGTTGTAGTTATTACCGGCATTTCGTCTCGAAATGAGACACACATTATGCCATGTTGACCAAACCGTATACATAAAAGCCCTGAACTACAACACAGCTAGACTCAAAATATCTATAGGAAATAGAAAGTAACCTACCTGTGTTTAATCTAGAACCAACTGTTAATTCTTTCAAAGTAGATTTACAATCCGGATCATCTGTAGCTATACAGATTATATCATCTCGTATATCAGTTACATCAACATCTCTATTTTGTAGTATTCTACCATTATCATAATATATACCATGTTTAAACCATCTATATATCATAGGTAAATTATGATCGCCTGGTTTGGTTGTAGATGTAGCGTTACAAGTTATCCCCAGTAATAATGTACCACCCACTAGTTGTTCTGGGTGTGGAGGTAATCTTATACTTGGTTTATCTATAATAAATAATAGAAACATTCTATCCCAATTGAACAATAAGGCAGTCTTTTTCACTTATATATCGCAAACGTAGAATGATTTTGTACTATAAAAGAGAGAGAGGGAGGGAAATAGGGTTTAACGTCCACTCGACACAAACTAGGTCATTTCAGGACTAACATATGGTTTAATTTTATTTCAATAATTCGCTTGCGCGTAGGTTTCTTTAGCAGTGGGAGGAAACCGGAGGACCCGGAGAAAACCCACGAGGTTGGACAGGCGACCCTACTCCTTGTCACGTACAACCGGGGATTCGAAACCACGCTAGTTGACTTAATGGCAGGCCGTATGATACAGCACGCACGTACTAACCATTCGGCCACCCAACCCACCAATTTGTACTATAATATATCTACACTATGCAACAGTCAAATCAGCCTATTGAAGTTCTTTTTTTTCTGACTAAAAATGTTATATAAATTATTTATACATTTTTCTTAAGGATGGCTTCGATGTTAAGTGGATTAGACCATACGCGCCATATGTTCTTTAAACGGTCATATTGACGTCACTTAATGGAATGGGAATATGTTTGATATCATGGCAATTATACTTAGCAATTTGATATTTCTTGAAAAAAACTTCAATCATAAATTTCAATATATTCATTATTCATTATCTATTTTGGAACTATTATAACAAGCACAGCAATCTCTTTAGTATTATAATGTTACCAACAATAATAACATGATTAACCGGTAAATGCCAGTTTTACACTATTTACAATAATAACAGTATGTACCTGTTTCTATATGTTATCTACAACAATAACAGTATTTACCTGTAACTATGGTAAATATCAACAGTAATAATATTATTTACCTATAACTATGGTAATTATCTACAATGATAACATATTTACCTGTAACTATGTTAACTATCTACAGTAATATCAATATTTATCTGTGACTGTCCTGACTAGCTACAGTAATAACATTATTTACCTGTAACTATGTAATTATCTACAATAATAACATATTTACCTGTAACTAAGGTAACTATCTACAGTAATATCAATATTTACTTGTGACTGTCGTAACTATCTACAGTAATAACATTATTTACCTGTAACTATGCTATCTACAATAATAACAGTATTTACCTGTAACTATAAGTTTTACACCACATCTAGGTACAATAATTCCTCCAGATGTACAACAATATACACCAGCATCTTGTGACGTCACATCCTCTAGTTGAAATGTAAATAAGGTGATTCTGTAATATCTACAGTAATTACCTGTGACTGTCGTAACTATCTAAAGTAATAACATTATTTACCTGTAACTATGCTATCTACAATAATAATACTATTTACCTGTAACTATAAGCTTTACACCACATCTAGGTACAATAATTCCTCCGGATGTACAACAATATACACCAGCATCTTGTGACGTCACATTCTCTAGTTGAAATGTAAATAACTTGGTATCGTTGACTATTACATTGATTCTACTTGATTCATTTATCCATATATTTAAAAGTTTAAACTGTCCAGGCGAACCTAGGTATATAATATTACCACCAGGTTTCTGTATTTCATAAATATCTTCCACATTAATTATTTTATTCAATTTAAAAGACAGTTCAGCACGTCCATGTTGTTGTACTATTTCTTCGTAAGTAAAATCACAGGATAAAACTGAAATGTAGAATAAAATATATTAGATTTAACAAACAAATGTGACTTCTTCTATACATTATAGGCTATGCGCGATGTGCTCTATATAGGAAATATTTGCAAAATATTTCGATAATATGAACATGCCATAAAAAAACCCAGGCAGGCTATAAGATATAATCCTAGGTGATTAACATTTTATGTAAAAGTCATATCCTATGTTAGAGATATGCATCACATACAACATATCCTATGTTGGATACATGTAATATACGTCATATCCTATGTAATGTTATATACATGCAGTATGTACGCCATATACTATGTTAGATTGATACAGAAAAATGTACGTCGTATCGTATCTGAGAGATATGCAGTATTTATGTACGTCATATCCTATGTTATATACATGGAGTATTTATGTACGTCATATCCTATGTTAGATATAATAATTATGCAGCATGTTCGTCATAAACTATGTTGGTTACATGTAGTATATACGGCATATCCTTTGTTAGAAACATGCAGTATGTATGTACGTCATATCCTATGTTAGATTTATGCAGCCTCATATCATATGTATGTCACATGTAGTATATATGGCATACCCTGCGTTAAATACATGTAGTATATACATCGTATCCGAGTTTTGATACATCACGTATATAAGTCATATCCCATGTTAGATATATGAAGGATATCCTATACTAGATATGTACAGTATGTCCGTCATACCTATGTTACTTGCATGTAGTATATACGTCATATCTTAGGTTAGATGTTTGCAGTATGTATATGTCATATGTTATGATACACAATATATATTTACCCTTTATTAAGTTATAAAATACATATTTGCGCTATTATATTTTATAGACATAATATATCTTTAACGTGCAGTTTGATGTTATAAACATGATATAATATACATATATCCAAAAATATTAGCGCAACCGTAAGGCTGCACCACTTTGTTTCACGGTAAACGATGAAAGGTATGCTATGAAAGTAATAAACACGATGTTTTAAAAGTAATTAAAAGTACCTGAATTTAAAGTATAGAACAACACGAAAACATATAACACCATCTTGCTTTTTTCATATTTCGACACCTGGGAAATAAACACAACCGTTCTGTTTGAGCCAGATATCCGATATTAAAATACTTTATTTAATTACCGAAAATGGAATATGGAGTCATCGCTACAGTTGATTTTTGTGTTAATTTATTCACTTATTAATTGGTGTGTCTTTTTTATGCCCTAAAAAAATGTTTAAAAAAATGTGTAGGAAATTTTTCTTTATAAATATGATGTGTTTCGGATTGGTGATATTAAAATACGTCCGCATAAATAGACGTGGGTGTGTGAATCATATGTTTATTCCTGGTCAAGATTAAAACACGCATCATATTTCGTTCAAACTTTCGTTTTTCTTGTCTTTAATGCAGAGGAACCTGGAAGAGGTGTGAAATACCCCACGTTCTGGCTGATGTGATGGATTAGCCAATCAGATAGTCATTTGGGTCAAACTCATATCGTGTGGCGCGATATTTGTAGGCATATAGAAAACAACACAAAGCTAAGGGTTGTATTTCCGAACAGCTAATTCAAACGCAAAAGTCGATTGGTTATTTGAATGACTGTCGCCATATAGGGTCAGATGTCGCTGGTATGACATGGAGTGAAAGCCATTGAGTGTACAAAAAACAAAACGAAATATAGATCTGTATTTAAATCAGATTAGGGCAAGGTCATATTACACACTAAAACATTTGCTAGTCTGCGAAAATAAGAGATAATAATAGACAGAAATCGATTCACTGATAAATGCTGAATACTGAACTAGTACGGTTTCATTCACGTAATGAATCAGTAGGACAAAGGTTGTAACTTCTATTATTACAGCGAAAGGCGTGCATCCTTTACTTACTAATCTAACACAACGTTTGTGTTGCTTGAAGGATAAACAGAATGACATAAACTGAAATGAAATGGGGTTTAACGTCCTACTGTTCTCTTCCGACTGGGATAATGAGACATGGAAATGCCAAACAGTCTGTCATAAGGGCAAATTTGCTCGTGACAGCGACACTAAGGCCAAAGGTTCTTTTCCGTGCACACCAGGGTGTAAACGCGACTTCGGATTTTCGTCCCATACGAATGACAATACACTGTCTCATGTCATCACCACCGTCCCTGTCCTGCACCACTGACAAGGGGAATTCCAGGAACTTTCTCTATCAACACCCTGGAAGAACCGGAGCCATCCTGGTTTGCAAGCGACCGTTTTACTTACCGCATAATGTGCTACAAATTAAATTTTACCCAGAAAGTGGCGCTATGGTCGACTATTTTTTTTAAATTCCAGCTGTCAAGGATTATTTTTTGTAAACGTCAATGTGTATCCGGAACCTCGGGATAACCTTCTATCCGAACGACTATAAACTGTCCTTGGCAGGTCTTCCGCCCTTCACCACTGACAAAGGTAAACTACGCTGGAAAACCCAGAGGGAGTTTTCGATCTTCACTGCGTTTCCTTGATTTTCCGAGACTGCAAACACAGGTAGCATTAACTGCTTTATTTAAATTTCATATTTAACAAACATATTTTTGATATTTTTTTTTACGAAATTATAAAGCATTGTTACTCCAGAGTCCTACATCACTCAAACATATCACGACTTGATTTGATGTTTTGAAATGATGTGTATTTAAATATAGTATGAATATTTAGTTTAGTTTCGTATCTGTCATTTAATAAAGGAATAATTTGCAGTTCGTAGGAAAAAGGGGTCCTTCACTGTCAAAATACCTGTCAGGTTGAATAGCTGTTTGTTTTTTTTCGTGGAAGTATTTTTATATCCAAGGTCATTGACTAGACCATGTAGTAAAGTGTGTCAAATGTATTTCTCATTTAAAGGAGCTCAAATTTTTATACTAGAAATCGAAAACACGAATTAGAATTCAAATTTGATCCATTTCAATTAGTATTGATGTTGTTATCTTACGGTAAAAACGTGGGATTCGCATATCAAGTATTTGATACAGGGTAAACATTTTAAAATTACTACGGATATAATGGGATCGAGCGCCATTAGTTATGAAAATATGAAACATATCCAAGAAGACAACGCGGAAGTAATCAAAAATGGTTGATATACGAACCTTTTCACCGGGTCCTCTGGTTTCACCCAACTGCAATTTTGTTAAACTATATTTGAAAGACAGAGTGAGCTG